GAACGTACGAAGCCCTTGTTCAAAATTACCTTATGGACGGTTACAGTACCGCATTCACTACGATGAGAGAGACCAAAAACAGGTTTTCGAGTGTGATTGCCAGCCAGCCAACCATTGCTCGATTCACCTGGGACGTGGACTCCAAAGTTGTCAGTATGGATGGGACTCCGATCTCCGTTCAGAAGCTTTTCGACTCTTGGCAAACGTGTCTTGCAGATCTTGAAACCGCCACACGTAAAGTTTTCCGGGGCTATGACTATACCGCGATCCTTGAGCTCATAGATTCGAAAACAATCCCTCTTCCGGAAGAGTCATCGAATTGGTTCGTTGACTCACGAGCAGAGCTGGACTACCTCTACTCGTTTATAGAGGAGGACCGTAATCAGCTAAAGCCGTATCGAGAGGTTCTTCTTCAGCATTTACTGAAGGATAAAACCATGTTCGCTGTTGCAAATGGCGAGCTCATCCCAAACGAGAACGCGATCTGGCAATGGTTTGCCGACTTGCAGGATTCTGTTAATCTCAAGTGGTATCTAACCCATGTGTCTAGCCCTGGAACTGGTCGAGGTAGAGAGTGGGAAAATATCTATTATGCCAATCATCCTTCCCATTCTAAAAATCTTCACTGCCTTAACGGAACACCTGGCTATGAACCCTATTACGGAAAAACGCAGGCAGTGAAGGGGTATACCGAATGCATACTCCGAACACCAGCCTGGCAGGTGATGCGATACGATATTTTAATCCTTGATTGCGCCTATTTCGCCGCCTCTCATCTGGGTAACCTCATTGGGATGAAGAAGGAGTTCTGTGCTAATTATCTCTATCGATCGTTTGTGAGATACGGAAGACCCATGGAATCTGCAGATTTCTCCAAGTTCCTCCAATACATTACCCAAAAGACAATCGGCGTTCCCCTTGGACTCCTCGACTACCGACAGCTTGACACTGCCATCCTGAACCAGATCGCACACCTTTCCCTTGAAAAAGCAGATTTCGAGGATACTGAAGTAGAGGAGATGCACCTGATGTCAGGCCATTCTGCCCAAACGGCGCGTAATACTTATGGAGTCAGTCACTCATCGGCCACCCCAACTATCCCTCAAGATATTGTAGCGTCTCAGCAACGTAAAGCACGGGTTTGGCAGGGGGTCATTGGTATGCTTCATCCTCGACTTCGCGTCAAAGCTTCAAGCATCTCCGTACGTTTTTTTTTTCTTTATTCATCTGATATTATTTTAAATCCCCACTAGCCCAATAGCTCTGGTTATACATTTTCTCCAGAGGTAATGGAACAAATTCTCGCGCCGATTGTAAAGTCCGCTGTTGAGGAATCGACTCGAACCATCATGGGTGGGTTACACAAGGAAATCCGTGAACTTAAATCCTTTATCACCGGGGCTTATACCTCGGGGATTCACCAAGTTCTTGAAATCATCACCGGCAGTGGTCCTGCGCCATTCTATGATTCTCCTCCTGTGCCTGTCTCCCAGGACTGAGAGATTTCATTCACCGAAACTGTTTCCCTCATCTTGAATCATTTTCTTTTCATTCTCCCCAACAAGCCGAGGCAATTGCAAGTGTCCAGACCAAGGACCACATCTTCGTTGTCCTTCCTACTGGCGGCGGAAAAAGCCATGCGTTTCTTGCTGCGCCCTTGGTCCAGCGTGGTGTTTATATTGTGATCTTTCCCCTCGTTTCTATTGTGAATGAGATGAAGCTGCGCGCTGACAAGCTTCCGATCCAAGCAGTGATCTGGGGAGAGGACGAGTTTGACTTTTCACGGCCCGGGCTTATCCTTGTAGCGGTTCACAAGGCGGCAACCGACAAGTTTCGAGCTTGGATGAAACTTGAGGAAGTGTACAAGCATATCCGTCGAATATTCATCGACGAATGTCATCATATCATCACGGACCCAGACTTTCGTCTTTGCTATGACATCCTGGTCTTTCTCACCGAGCTTGGGATTCCGTATACTTGGTTATCTGCCACTCTTCGTCCCTCCGATATGCCTCTTATCGTTGATACTCTTCAGATTCCGGGGGATGCTGTCATTCGTGAGATCCGGGCTTATACTGGCCGTCTCAACCACATTTACACCCACCAGAAAGTCGCTCCAAAAGATTTGGAAGAAGCAATTTTAGCCTGGGTTCGTCCGCGGGCAAAGCTGGAAGGGAAAGCACGAGCGTTGGTATATGTTTCAAGCCGAAAAGAATGTGAGGGAATTGCCCAACTCCTAGATGTGGATTTTTTCCATTCCCAGCTTGATCCAGAACGCAAACGTACTTTGGCTCAGCAGTGGCGAGATGGTTCCGAATACCGGCACCGCTTTCTGGTCTGTACTTCTGCATACGGTGAGGGAATTGATTGTCCAGAGGTAGTCTGGGTCCTGTCTATTAATCCTTTTGGGATTATCTCTCTTGTACAGTGGGAGGGACGTGCGGGACGGAATGGACAGCCAGCTGAATGCCATACGATCTTCACTCGCCTCCCAAGGATCAACGTGGGCCATGTCGACTCCAAAGGAGCTGCTGCACTTGTCAGGAGACTCACAGGCGGGGATTGTATTCGCTTGTCGCAGGCCTCTCTTGACCGTGAGACGCATTCCTGCTCAGCTCTTACAGGTGCACAGTTGTGCCAAAACTGCAATGAGGTATATCTTTAATAGTATCCGGACTATTAATACTCTAATTTATTACTAGGCTCCGATGGACAATCTTGCCGGCGTTCCCAATATCAATCTCCAGAACCGGCTACTCAAATGGACACAATCCAAGCCGATTATTGACCCGACAATTCCTGTTTCGAGTGTTGCCAGCAGTGTCGTTCCTCTACGCGAAAGGTTTGAAGCAAGGGATAAAGCGCTCGAGAAATTCGAGCGAATACTGGACCAGATCGCTGCCCGGGGTTGTATTTTTTGTTTTGTTGACGGGACTACACATCAACCCGACACATTTCACGAGCCTCACAACAAGTTTGAGCTCCTCCGTAGCAAGTTTTCAAGCTCGACAACCGCTCCGGGCTTCAACGTCAAGGCGAACATACATGTTCCTTATTGCTTCCATTGTTGGATTCCGTTTCGCCAAGTTGGCAGTAATCATCCAAATCCCGAACCTGGCCGGGCTTGGGACACACAAGACTGTCCATATAATGGGACCCAACACACGATCATTCCCAGCCTCATAGCATACATTTGGGGCAAAAAGGAGGTGTTTGACAAGGTAGACATAAAGTTGGGTTTGGGCTGTAAGGATGTTGATGGCTACTACAACTCGGACACCCTGTGGAAATGGCTGACATCCCCGGTTGGAGCCACTGAGTTGCAACCACCGTATGTTTTTGTAAACGCGTTCTTTGATACTTGTATATCTCTTGACTAATATTAACTGCTGGGCTAAGGCGCATGCGTATGCTCGTTCTGAACTTGGAACAACGCCTTGATTAGATCCTAAAAAAGTAGCTCACTAGGACAAATGTTCGCCCTTACCCTCTTCAGTTTGTAGAAGCGTACAAGACTGAAGCGTCATACCACTAGACTCCCTCAAAGTGTTTAATGATCCGTACTACTCAATAAATGTCGCTTAGCACTAGTACCTTCACTTATATCAATACCACCCCAAACATTGATTGACCTAGGCTGATTGCAAATGGCGACAGAGCTGCGACCATGGAACATCAAAGGGAGACGTGAAGCACAAGGGTATTGGAGTGAGAATTGTCTTCTAAAGCTTAAGTGAATTTCCAGTTTAACAAAGTGAAGATGTTTCCAAGGTAGATATAATAAACATCATTTAGCATGCAGTAGAAGAGATTCTTGAGTAAGAGGCACGTGATTTTATATGACTCAAAAGCATGCCATGCCACGGTTTTGGCTCACGTGATAACCACTCCTGCCTAATGTGCGTCTACTTGTTTGCAAGGTGTACTTTAGCCCCAGGATAGCAGGGGTTTGTGTTTGAATTTGCCTCAAACAGGCTGGAGACTGAATAAATTGATCAGGGTATCCGGGCGTAGCAGAGGGCTGGCTTGGAACAACATCCGAACCAAGTGCAGGCTCACCCAGCTCAAGGAAGAAAAGGAGTTTGGGAGCAAGGTGTTGGACATAGCCTTTGAATTGTGGGACCCCTCTTCAGTAAATACTGGTCAGACTCTGGATACATTCAACTGAAGTGTGATACCACTAGACTACAAGGGCATTTCAAATGGCCTTTTACGTTGGTAAGTGGGTAAATAACCTGGGCGTGAATCTATAACTTGTAATACGTCAGGTCCCAGTTTGTTCCAGTATTATAGCCTCTGAAGTTGTACAAAAGTGTAGACATTTACTATGACTAGTGTTACACCAGAGCTGCCTTTCACGCAGACTCGGAGCAATTTTTCTGGAAGAATTATGGGAGAATTTTGGCAGAATTCTGGGAGATTCATCTATTTGGGGTCGCTGAGAACTTGAACTCATTTTTCCTACCCTGCACTCGTGGTCAGCTGCTGTGCAAGATTTTGAGGCAGCTAGTGGGGACAAGAGAGGATGTGATCAACCCTGTGAGGTATGAACCTGCATGTGTTCGCTGAATCGGTTTTGTACACAGGTCTACTAACAGTTGAGCTATCAGGGTGTGGATTACAACTGTGTGTTGTCTCTTGGTATACGCAAAGGGAAAATGCTGCTAAGCGTGGTAGAGGTCGGACTTGAAAAGAAGTCAGGTTCGAACCTGTCTGCTTCGGGGTTTGAACTTGGAAATATGTCAAGAAACAGTTGAGCTATCTGGACACCGCTCAAGTTTTGAACCTGCATGTACTGTAGGTGACAACTCAAGCCGCTGAGCGTGTTGGGGATACAGAAATCTAAACACCCAGTGGTGTAAAAGTGTTGAACATGTGCCTAGAATCCACCTGGGTAGCCAGACGGACCGGTATTTATATCTTGGTACAATGTTGGCAAGCTTCACTTGTAGCTGGGGATAAGCTCCATCTCAAACATGATTTAACCTTTCCTAGTACACACTCAAATAGTCAAGTGGTCAAGACACCTTGAATATATATACCATTCATATACCAATATTTCAAGGAGGCGGGTGGTTCAATTCCCCCTTTGGGTATAGTTGAGAGATCCTCCAGTTTTTTTTTCCCACTGTCCCCAGTACTGCGGGACCACGCTGCAATACCCCGGTCATCTTTCATTCCTCCTTTGAGTGTAGCGGACTGATCATACAGTTATCTTCCAGCATATAGGAATCAAGCAATGACTAGAAATGCAGGGAACATCCGTGACGTGTTTTAGCTGAGGGATCATATTGAAAGTCTGAGCATGGAATGATGCACCTCAATCAAAGACAGCTCAGTGTGGGCACTGAATATAAGAGTCTTGGTGATTTGTAGTGGAGCAAAAAAAAAAAAAAACAAAAACAAAAACTGCAGAAATACCAGACGCGTCGATTACCCTGTGAGGATCGAACCTGCGTGTCCACTGAATCGGGTTTGGACAGATATCAACTAACAGTTGCGCTATCAGGGTTCAATACTGCTACTGGTACAAAGGTACTTGGCAGCTGCAGGCTGTGACACACTCGAATAGTCGAGTAGCTAAGATCGTGCAGGGTTCAATTCGAGAGAAAAGTCTCTAGGTGGATCTGCCACCCAACGCATGGCACAGTGTGACAATGTATAGAAGTTACGTGAGAGCCCGACATCACTTTACCAGGTTCACCACTTCCAGAGTGCACTCGCATAGTCCAGTGGTCAAGACACCTTGAAATCATCCATATATCTGTTTCAAGTACATTTAGATTCCAGGGAGATGGGAGTTCAATTCTTCCTGTGAGTATTCACCATGAGACTGCGCAATTTTTGTGACCCCCCTCTGTTAACCTGGTGAACAGATCCTAATATGCACTCAAATAGTCAGGTGGCCAAGACGCTTTGAAATTACAAGTGGGCGGGGGTTCGATTTCTCCTTTGGGTGTAGTGGAGAGATCATGCAGTTTTTTCGCCTTTACTGATGATAGTACTAATGTTGAGGGAGGGTTCTCTGGATTGTGTTGTCTCCCTCAAACAAATATGAGAAAAAAATACTAGGTCGAAATACAGGAGGCATGGATTACCCTACAAGGTTCGAACCTGTGAAGTTTGGCCATAGGTCAACTAACAATTGAGCTATCAGGGTATGAATTAAAAGTCCCTTGCCTCTGATGTCACTAAGCATAACATCTTTATATTATTCTGGCCGATTTTACGCGCAGTAGAGCAAAGGACTTGTGAAAGAAAAGGCGACGCCGGCAGGATGTGCCCGGATGCAACAGACTCTGTGCATGAAACAACACGTTCAACCAGATGGACGAATCCTAGTACACACTCAAATAGTCAAGTGGTCAAGACACCTTGAAATCATAACATCTTGAAGGATTAAGGAGGCGGGGGTTCAATTCCACCTTTGGGTGTAACAAGAAAGCAATATGTGTGAAGCTGATAGTAGTTTTTATTTGAAACCATTAGTGTTGGCGAGCAACCGATTCTACGAGGTCTAGTACAAACTCAAATAGTCACACCTTGCAATTATAAACTTGACGCAGGATGGAGGCGAGGGTTTGATTTTACCTTTGGGTGTGCCCGAAAATAGAGTGAACTTTTTTCCCCTCTCTAGAAGACTCTTATCCACACAAGGTGGTGGTTCAGTTTGTCCTTTGATGTATAACCCAGTCTCTACAAGGTGGTTGGGATGCCAGCAGGTAACTCGAAGAGTTGGCCAAGTCGTGATGCGCAGTGACACAGTGGCCAACTTTCAACACATCCAGTGCTTATTCACATGGTCTAGTGGTCAAGACACCTTGAAATCATATAACTTGGGCTCACTGTGAGATTTCATGGAGACGGGAGTTCAATCCTTCCTGTGAATGATTTTTTTCTCTGTCCTAGAGTAATGTAACATGGGGGTGTTGTCTACATATGTGGTATGAACGCAAACACTATTTAACCTGGTAAACTACTTTTAGTATGCACTTGAATAGTCAAGTGGCTAAGACACCTTGGAATCATACATCAAGCTCCAGTGCTAGAGGATTCCGGGGAGGCGGGGGTTCGATTCCTCCTTTGAGTATCCACGAAGTGTAAACGATGTTTTTTTCGACCCTATAGGGAATCTCAAGTGGTGCTGTTTTAGGACAATCTGAAGAGTTCTGGTCTGACCACATACAGTACTCACTCGAGTAGTCAAGTGGCCAAGACGCCTTGAAGTTATACTAATATTTCAAGGAGGCGGGGGACCTTTGAGTGTAATAAGAAAAAAATAAGGTACTCCCTACATGAAACGTATGTACTTCCAGGTCTAGTACAAGCTCAATTAGTCAAGTGGCCAAGACACCTTGGAATTATACATCAAGCTCCAGTGCTAGAGGATTATGGGGAGGCCGGGGTGTGCCTGAATCGCCGCGATAATTGGCATGTGTGAGAGTCCACTCTGGGCGAGACCAGTTTCTGAGGCTCGTCCAGGGATTGCCTGCAGTAAGCCAGGTCATTCTTAGCTTGGAATGATATCTTGATTAAACCCAGCTCTAAATTGTTGACCTCATACTAGTAGACACTGTTGGCAGGCACGAGCTGATCAGGGAATGACAATCAACTCGTTCAGGCTATGGACTCTCCAGTTTGGTGCCCAACACTTCTAGTGTGTCCAAGAAGCCATACAAGCAAAGTTGAATTTCATGGAGACGGGAGTCTGTGAGTAAATAAGCTTAATTTTTTCTACTCTCCAACTGGAACACGTATAGATTTGCACAAGCCAGCCATCATACTTTGAAAATGGATTTGAACCATAAGCTTAAACCAGTCCATGACTTCACACTTGGATAGTCAAGTGAACAAGACACCTCAATTGATTTCGAGGACGTGTTGCTGCAAGGGTTACCTGTAGTGGTGTATTGAACGGGCTAATCTTTTTCCTGCACTTCTTGATGTATCACAGATTTTCGCGCGACAGCATTAGCCCCTTCACCACTCCTAGCACAGACTCGAATAGTCAAGTGGGCAAGACGCCTTGCACCCAAGATTTCATCTTTCAAGGAGGCGGAGGTTCGATTCCTCCTTTAAGTGTAACGGAAATGTAATTGTATACAGTTTTAGTAAGCCAGACAGCCACAGCTATGTGAAAGCACATTGGTTTATTGGCCTAAATCTCAACACATCTAGTGCTTACCCACATAGTCTAGTGGTCAAGACACCTTGAAATCATATGAATTGGATTGCTATCGGATTTCAGGGAGACGGGAGTTCGATTCTTCCTGTGGATAAATGATTTTTTTCCACTGTGTGCCAGTTAGGCGACCAACACTGAATGACTACACCCTCAATAGTCAGAGGTGTGAGCGCAAAAAAAGTGCTGTGTCTCAGGCATGTTAGAAACATCATTTAACCTGGCATTAGTACACAATAAAATGGTTGATTGGATAAGACGCCTCGAAGAATCGCTTATAATGAGGAAAACAGTTTTTTTCTTTCCGTTACGGATGAGTGGGATTCTTTCCCCAAATGGATGTGCGCAAGATGCTAGTAACTAACCCTAACCCCTAAGTTTTAATTCGAAACCCATTTTACCAGGTCTAGTACACGCTCGAAAACTCAATGCCTTGAAATCATATGTTTAACCCCAGATAGTGCTGTGGCCGTAGCATAAATATTCTGAGTCGTACCACTCCTGTGAAACAGTCAAGTCGTCAAGACGCCTTGAAATTACACATACGAAATAAGATGAGGTAGGGGTTCGATTCCTCCTTTGGGTGTACCTGTACTTCACGTAATAACAAAAACAGTTACCGATGAGTGGGATGAGATGTACGCAAGACATTACAGCTTTAAAATTAAAAAAGAAGGTTTTAGGATCACAATCAAGATAGTCTCATAAAGTATTCCTTGGGCAGGAAATATGGCTCACATGTAATGATGTCATTAGGCTTGGAACTGAAGATTGGTTCCAATGTTAAGTCTTAGTGTTGTTAATATTTACGGATTCCAGAAGATGGCTGCAGGAGAGCGGGGATCGCCATCTCTCGATCCATGGGAGTCAATAAAAAATTAGAGAATGGGATTCGAGGCCCGCTCACTGGAGCAATAAACCACTGGACTATAAGTGCCTTGCTAGGGTGAATAGTTAGTGCATCTAAAGGTCAGTAGTTTCGTGCTTAACTCAGAATGATGTCAGATGCGTATAGCAGCCTCTGAAGTTGAGCATAAGTGAGGTAGCACTTTTATGACTCCAAGGATATGGTGTCAACTACTAGACCATGGTGGCTGCAATTTTAGTAACATAATGGGACTCGTATCAACTAATAAGAAGGCTCAGATAGTCTAGGGGTAAGACAATTCAGTTGTATTGCCAGCCACGAATAGACGTAGGTTCAATTCCTACTCTGGCCGTTCCACGTGTGTCCACTTTTTTTCTCTAACCTTCTGCATTTAAACTACTTCAACTTGCTAGGGTGGTAACGCAGATCGTTAAAGCACAAGTGCACACTTGACCAGGGCTACCACTTTTACAGTGCACTCACATAGTCCAGCGAGACGCCTCGAAATCATTCACATGAAGTTACATCTTTATTTCGAGGAGACGGGAGTTCGATCCTTCCTGTGAGTATGTGTGGATAGACGATTTTTTCCATCAGTACTTATTCCATATGAGGAGCAGGGATGGCAGCAAGTTGGACAAAGCGATAATAATGCATTCTGGTATGCACTCAAATAGTCGAGTGGCCAAGAAAGCAGGAGTTTAGGGTTTAGGGTGATTTTTTTGCCTACTCTCTATGTGAAGCTTGTGCAGGTTAGCCATTAATTGGCGAGCTTGTACAAACTCAAATAGTCAAGATCCATCATATATCAAGCTTCAGGGCCAGAGGATTCCAGGAAGGCGGGGGGTTTGAATCCTCCTTTGGGTGTGATGGAACAATTCATGTGGACATTTTTAAGTGAGCCAGCCTTCTTTGAATAGAAACTCGAAGAGTATGCTTCCCACAGGAGCAGGTTAGTCTTCATCGCCGGCTATGCTCGCAGCTATGTGAAAGCACGTGTGTTTATTGGCCAACTTTTAACGCATCTAGTGCCCTAAGAGACGGGAGTTTTGTGAATTATGGCGTAATGACAGGCACAAAGGATTCTGACTTGAAAAGGGCCCTGGTTCACACTCCTGGTATGCACTCGCATAGTCTAGTGGTCAAGACACCTTGAAACTGTACTACTCGAGTCCTACAACAGATTCCAAGGTCTTCCTGTGAGTATTAAAGGATGAGTAATTCATCCAGGAGGAACGTGCAAGCCAGATATAGACAGGAGGTGAGTAACGTCCGTCCAAGACGCCTCGGAAAGGGTTCTCTGAGTGTCCACACCGAGTCTGTGTTGCATAGCGATTGTGGTGGATGTTAACAGGGCGTTTCAGGGCAGCATTAAACACTGGTAAACTATCAAGACGAGGACATGGCAACTAGTTCATCTACTGTAACGAGGCACATCAGTACTGAATTATATTCTACTTGACATTTTTGAGAAAGCGATCAAGTTCCTTCAACCACGCGGTTACTTCGGTATTTTCAAGTCCTTCCCAATGGACGCGATCTGGGCCACCACGCGACATAGCTGCCTTCCACCCCATAAAGACGTTACGTGCTCCAACCAGCAATACGAGTTCATCTGCAATCTCTGCAGCCTTGTTCGGTAACCCTTGGTTTGCTTTCTCCTCTTCCACTTTTGCCTTTTTCTTCGTCTCTGTTTCGAGTTTCTTCCACTTGGGCCACCACTCCATCATTTTCCGGTTCATCATCTTTGCGATTTCTAGCCCTTCTAAGCTCCAAGTTGAGACGCCAATATGGACAGACGCGGTCAAGGAGAGGCAGCAGTGGATGGTGAGGGGTGGAACGTCAAAACAATCGCCTTGCTCAACCAGGTATACCTGCATACCCGTCATGTTTCTCATATACACGTCAAGCGAATGCTCAGGATGGTAATTCATCTCATATAAATTCCGACAGACCCATGATATGTTATGTTCAATTGGGGGCCAAACCACCCATACCTTCGAGCCCCTTGCCTGGTAGATCCGCATTCCATACCCGAACCCATCCCTGTGAGCCGAGGTGATGCTTCCCGGCTGAGTATAGGTGGCCGGTCGTAGATCTGGAGAGTCAAAGACGATTGTAGAGGACTCCCATCGTATGTTGAGGTCTTTGAGCCCGTCGCGAGCTGCTACTGGCCAACTTTCAACAATCGAATAGTATGGTTCTTCGGGATCCACCAGACTTTCACGGTCGCTGAAATTGGCGATAAGCTCCGCTGAAATCCTAGTTAGAACACAAAAAAAAAAAAAAACTGGATGAGAAGAAACTTACACAGCAAAGGAAATGCATTCATTCCTAGTGAGCCAATACTCGCTTTTCTAACGTCAACTGCCAAGTCGGCCCAGATCATTGAAGTATTAAAAACTGAGCTCATTTCTGGAGCCGGGGCTTGGGTGAGAAGACCAGATGAATTCGGCATGTCGAATGCGAAGGTTGGTTGGTTTTTCAGACGTTCGAGGAACCGGTCGACTCGATCGCGGAGGTTAAGGTGTCTGCAAGAGTGTGGGTCCCAGAGTGCTTGAATCTTTTCAGCTGGAGTCATTGTGTCTGGACTATAGTCAGCATGGAATGTACTTTCCCTGAAAAAGGTGGACTTGCCACTGTAAACAATTTTGGATGACTCGGGGTTAATCTTTTGTTTTTTCTACCCATAAATTAGATGTTTCATAGTTGAAAAGAGGTAAAAATGACGCACGTTTATTGGGGTAGAAGGCCCCGCTTCAGGAGTGTCTTGAGTTACGACTTTCTGCTTCTTGGAGTTTAATTTTCTCAACCGATCCTGGAAAAAAAACTCAATATCGATACAACTAACAACCACAACATCTTCACCTCGTTTCCTTCTATGTCTTCACTTATGGCATGCTTGTTCTTGCTGTAGTCTTCCCAGTGTTCTTTGAGTGTATTCCACGTATAGTGGGTCCCTTTTATTGACGATGGATGAATGAACGCTTGATTTAAAGGTTTCTCATTCCAGTTCAAGCCATCAAAGACCCAATATCGTTCAGATGAGGTGTTCAAATGGAGGTAACCAATCTTAGGATTCGGACTATCGCTTAGGGTTTCATACAGAAAGCGCGTGGCATCAGGAGGACCAGGTGAGGTTGAGTAGATCGTCTCAAAATTTTGACTGTTGATTCTTCGACTCTTGGACTTGGTAATCATAGCATCAACCAAGTCTTAATGCTCATGTTGGCTTGAGCATGGTAGGCATATCGAGATGGAAACTTACTGGTGGAGTTTGGTGTATTGCTGTTTGACATTGAGGGGGGAGGGTTTGTTGAGGAATACCTTCTGTGTGGTCGAGAGAGTTTGGGGCGAGTGGTGTTGTCGACAAGTAACGGAAAGAGAAAGTTTGAGCGCTTATTGCTGCGCAACATGTTATGTAATATTTGATCTCGTAAAGTTCACTCGATCAGTCCACATTCAAGCGCATCTACGCCTGTTGTGTAGAAAAATACATAGACAAATTGTATCTTGGCAGGATTCTGGGATGTTCTGGGAGATTCTGGGAGATTGTGGCAGAATTCTGGCGGAATCCAAGAATAGTGTATTCATCTCTATCCTAAATACGAAGAACTTGGTATAAACCCTGAAGCTCTTCAAGTAGCTTTCCTCCACGTATCTAATAATGTCTGTATGGCACGGTGGCATATGTGGTTCACAAACCTCTTGGTTCAGAGCAACCCGCAAGGGTTCGATACCCTCAGACAGCAGTTTTACCATAATCATCATCCCATGTTTTTTCATGGCTGATTTATTGTTCATTGAGTAGTATTTTTGAAAAGCATATCCTTCAGTCAGCAAGCAGCGTGCGCAAACAGATCAATTTCACGTGCATTACATATCACTTTATGTGACTAGAAGTCGGAATCAGAGTCAGAGTGAGCTCATCTAGCCACAGTGTTGCCAGGCACTTCTGGCCACCGTACCAAGACAACATTCACTCCGCTCCTAGTACACACTCGAATAGTCAAGTGGTCAAGACACCTTGAGATTATAGATCGTTGATTCGGCACTGTTTGTATTTCAAGGAGGCGGGGGTTCAATTCCTCCTTTGAGTGTGCTGTAATACATTTTTTCTTGTACTTCTTGATAAGTATATTTCTGCGGACATGGGTTACTGGTAGGCACTGAATTAGTCACCTATCCTACAGTAACAGCATTCATCAAACTGCACTTGTAGTACGCACTTGAATAGTCAAGTGGTCAAGACGCCTTGAAATAATAGATGAGAAAATCAAGAAAGCATGGAGTTCGATTCCTCCTTCAAGTATACATCGGGTTAACGCCAGTATACAAATTTGGTAGTCCACTTTGATAGTGTACTCACTTAGTCAAGCTGCCAGGATGCCTTGAGATTTTGACAAGCAAGCATTGTCCATATTCCAAGGAGACGGGAGTTCGAGTCTTCCTGTGAGTATCTGAGAATATATAATTTTTTCCATCTTCCAACAAGTGGGATTCACACATATTTTTATTCTGGATGGGGAAATGGCGAGAGCAGGGACGGTAGCAAGTTGAATCCAGGCATTGAAATGGGATAGCAATAAAGGGTTAGGAGAATGCAATCTGCCAAGACACCTTGAGATTATAGATCGTTGGTTCGGCATTTATATTTCAACGAGGGGGGTCCAGTGTAATACATTTTTTCCGCGCTGCGTGAGGTGCCATAGATATAGATGGGTTGGCAAGTTACAGAAGAAAGTACTAAATTAGTCGCCTGCACTTGACCTGGTTCACCACTTGTAGTACACATTCGAATAGTCAAGTGGTCAAGACGCCTCGAAATTATAGATACAAAGTGAAATCTCATCTTTCAAGGAGGCGGGGGTTCGATTCCTCCTTTGAGGGTAACATCTTAACATCAGAAGAGTTAATTTTTTCTCAGTTGCTGGAAAAGGTAGGTGATGTCAACGAATTTCAATACACACTCAAATAGTCAAGTGGACAAGACACCTTGAGTGCATCTCACATTAACATTTCAAAGACGCGGAGGTTCGATTCCTCCTTTGAATGTATAAGGAATGACTGAATGAGTTACATTTTTTGTCACATATAAGAGCATTCATCAAACTGCACTTGACCTGGTTTACCACTTGTACGAATAGTCAAGTGGTTAAGACGCCTTGAAATTATAAAACTGCCCCAGGATTTCAGGTTTCAAGGAGACGGGGGTTCGATCCCTCCTTTCAGTATGTTATTTGCCATCCCAAACATGAGACAATGTGAGTTTTTTTTTTTTTACCTGATGTTGTGATATCATTCTCGAATTGTTAATCACTCTGGGATTTCTTTTTGCATGGACATAAGACTCGAGCGCACGTCTCAGGCAACTTTAGTGCAGGTATTCATGGCCTGATGGTGCAATGGTATTTCCCTTGGTTTGTTCTTGTAATCAAGAGGCTTTCTCCTAAGCAGACCCTTGAAATAATGGCCTTGTGAAAATGTAGAGCCACGTTTTTTTTTCTCTCAAAAATAAATATGCTAGGAACGATTCCTTACCAGGCTGCACTTGTATGGCCTGATACGCCTTTGGTTCCGATCTGAGTTTGAAAGGATTCAGCATTGTGTGAATGCCCTAAAAATGAGATGGACAAGTAACAACACTCTAGTCTGTCATAGTGAGGTTGAACAATTGAGCTCGCAAACACATAGTAACTACATGCTAGCTTATATACTATACATACTGTATAATATGCTACAGGCGCCTAAGTAATCTCCGGAGTTGCCACATCAGAAGAGCATGTCGAACCCCGCATCTTGCGAACAGGAGGGTCTCTGGTGACCCATCAACTGGGATCCTGGCAACACTTGAGTAAGAGGCACATGATCCACCTGCTTGGTTAGTTTTACTCTATATTATGTAGTTGTATCAGGATAGCAGCATTGTGTAGGGATTTTTGTTTTGTTTTGGCTACTGTATAGAAACTCTGTTTTGCTTTGAAACAGGTTGCGGACATAGATTGAAGAAGGGAAAGTGAGACTTGAGGATGACGTGTGAACAATGATGTCATTGTAATCGGTTCTGATCTCTGGTTGTAACAGAAAAGTTGTTCCTGGCTTGGAACGACGGAACCAGAACTCACCTCATCAATAAAAAATAGTAATAGCTCAAGGATAAAAAGGGGTTCAGGGGTGCGGTGAATGTACACCGGACAAACACTTCACACTACCACTACTAGGCCATAAGGGCATTAATAATTTCCAGCAACACACCCTAAAGGGTATACATAATCAGATGAGCATGGTATGAGCTGAAGAGGTGCATGTTGGTCAGTGAAACGCGTCGTCACTCAACCCATGCTTTGTCCCAAGACCGCTTGTCTTTTAACCTGGTTCACCACTCCTAGTATGCACTCAAATAGTCAAGTGGCCAAGACACCTTGAAATTGTAAAATCCAACAATCTACCTTTTCAAGGAGGCAGGGGCTCAACCTTTGAGTGTACCGTAGAAATTGAATATCTAGAGAAGACCTGCGGTGCATTTTGTCCTTTGATGTATAGTAATAATCAGTAATCATTTTCAAAGCCAATTATCTGAGACCATGAGCTCTACTACACACTCAAATAGTCAAGTGGTCAAGACGCCTATACAAGGATAAATCTCATCTTTCAAGGAGGCGGGGGTTTGATTCCTTCTTTGAGGGCAATACTTTGACATGGAAACATGTAATTTTTTCCCAGTTGTTGGAACAAGAAAAGTCTGATCACACTTTCCCAAGTCAACGACCTCTAATACACACCCAAATAGTCGAGTGGCTAAGACGCCTTGAGATCATGGATCATTCATCCCAAAACTATATAAGTATTCCAAGGAGGCGGAGGTTCGATTCCTCCTTTGAGTTTGATGGGAAATGATTGACATTTTTTTCCTGTTCTGCTCGATAGTGCTGCAGACATGATTGGCAAGTTAGTCAGTCATCAAACTGCACTTGACCTACTTCACCACTTTTAGTACACACTCAAATAGTAAACTGCCCAAGACATGACCTATATTTCAAGTTTGATTCCTTACCAAGCCTCAACAATCAGGAGTGACAATAAAAGGATTCTTACATGACATTGTTTCCCACTCCTGGTATGCGCTTGCATAGTCTTGAAGCACAAAGTTACATGGCAAGGAGGCGGGGATTCGATTTGTCCACTTTCCAAGAGGGACGTGGGATAAGAGATCAAAGCAATCAGAAATTTTATGTCATATATATCCATTTGTTTTAACGTCTGGACTAAGTAGCCCGTGGGATAGGCCTACAGTATTGGGCATGAGCGCTGCTCCTTGTCAACTCAGGCCAGCATTTAAAGTGTTAGAAACACTGTTTAACCTGGTAAACTACTTTTAGTGTACACTGGAATAGTCAAGTGGTCAAGACGCCTTGAAATTATAGATGAGAAAATCAAGGATGCGGGGGTTTGTTGAGGGATCATAAGTTTTTTGCCACTCTTATCCGCATGTATAGTGATTTTTTTCCCTGGTCCGGCGGGGATCTGCCAGCTGGAAACCTTAAAGAGTGCTACGGCGAGCCAGGGCTACAGCTATTGTGATAACACACCAGGCCTTACTTGCCAATTCTTCCTGTGAGCATTGAAGAATGGATCATTTTTTTTTGCCACTTTCCAAAGAACGCGGGAGCCACCTGGTTGGCAGAAGCAAGTACATCCGCTTGTTCTAATGTCTGGGCCGAGTATAGTGTGTGCTTGCCTTTTAGTTTTCGCTTAGCTCGAGCGATGCCTGTTTCTATCTCACGGCAGCATACACACTCAAGTTGAGGCTCGATTTCTCCTTTGAGTATCCACGAAAAGCAGGATAAACTACAGGGAGTTATTCTTCTCGCAATGGAGAGAGACAGTTGCGCACAAAGTACTTGGATAAGCAATCCAAAAAAAAAGAGAAGCCATTTGAATTACCCAGAGAGGTTCGAACCTGCATACGTATTAGTCAAAGGGTGGGCCACAACCTAAACCGTTCAGCTATATCAGGGCCTGACAGAAAGGCCAAATAAGACAATGATAACGGGGTTGTGTTCAGTTACACCCAATCGCGTAAGACGATCTGATTGCTCTGTATGTTGCGTGAGTTCCCCTCATATGTAGAATCAGACAACACATTATTCTTACACTAGACCTCCGTACGCTGGAACAACAGAGCATATGCGACTAAAATGGTAGAGCATCTCCCGTTGCACTTCGATCTGCCGGCTGGCATATTTTCCAGACGGCTCTCTACCCACAAGACGCCACATATTCGGAACTTGATGATGGTCTGTATGGCACAGTGGCATAGTGTTATTATTCAACGCAATCTCCAAGAGTTCGATCCCTTAAGCCGGACAAACCCTTGGCCCAGAAGTGAAGCGTGAGTGTATGAGGAAAGACTGTGTGGTCTACATTTTACCCATACTGCTTGGCGTGTCAGAGATATAGTGCTGCGGACATGTGAAATGCTACAGCGACAGCATCCATCAGATCAGTCAAAGCCCCACTTGACCTGCTTTACCACTTGTATGTCACGATACACCCTCGTAGGTATAAGCACAGCATCCTCTCACACGTATCATGTATTTGTTATTCTTCTTACAAGTCTCACTTGAGTTCTTACATGTTTTACTCGTATTTAACGTAGCTTTTCATTACAAGCTAAAAGAGAGGCCAACAGCACAGGAATTAAATAACTTAACAAGCATCTACGTACGGGACCACAAAATTTCATCGCGCAGCGTTAACGATAACTTAATATTACTTCGATCGTAGTACAGGGTTAGCAGCGAAAACTTTCTTACAAGCAACTACAGGACGCAACTTGCATTTGTTTGTTTCATTCATAAGTCAGATCGCTAAAACAAGAACTGTGTCAAACTCCAAGCACATCCAATAATATCACTACTAAAGTACAAAATTCGTCCGCAAATCTTTATAACTGACACAGGGATCTCGTTATCTCAACAACACATTCAACCTATCGTTTTCCGCTTCCAAGATTCCATTCCTCCCTTCAAGTCGAACAACTTCTGATTGTAAAAACTCGCACTTTTCTACCTTCTCTTCCAACTGTTTGCGTAGAAGA